ACTTGCACATGTGAAAATAAAGGTGGAGGAGCTCGACTGCGGCGGTCCGATAGTAGTGGAACTTGGGACTCCTCAAGCGGTTGGATCTTCCTTCAACCTTTACCACCAGGTTTAGATCTCAAGTTCCTTTTCATGATTAGAGTGAGGGTTTATTTATTGATTTTGTGAGTGACATTATCTATAAATACTGCTTGAATTTGGACCACTTCATCAGACGTCCCAGAGCGATTTGCTTGATTTGATGTTGTTCTTTGAGCATTTGACTGCCTTAATGAAGTCATGATTGAGTGATCACGAGCTCATTGGATTCAACTTGACAAAACTCTCGATTTGACTATATGTTTGTCAAATTTAGAATCTATTTTTCCATTAAATTATCCATCTAAAACTTCTAATTGTGCTTAAATAGTTTGATTCGGGCTTGATCGAACTCAAATCGAATATAAATCAGGCACAAACAATAAAATTTAAATCAAATAGTGAATTCATATTTTTGCAAGCTGGGAAGCTTTGTCGCAGTAGAATTAAAGACAAAACCGACTTCTATTTTAAGAGGGGAAAGTTATCTCTCTAAACTCAAAGTGGGAGGGATCGGAGCAACAAAATGCAAAGTGACAATATAAATAAAAATCTGAATTTGAGAGGTAAAGTTGGAATTTTAGAAAATAAAATTATTAAATTAATGATTAGAAACCTAAGAGAATAATTCAGGAATAATAATTATAACTGAACTATAACATATATAATTCTCTGCTGTAATGACAACAGTTGGATCGGTGGGTGCAGTAGCGACTTCTCAGAAGAATTGATATGATTTTATGGCTAAAGTTTTCTCTTCGAATATTTTTGGAGAATCATTTTTACATACTCTTTTAGTTTAGACTTTTCTTGTTTGTTTATAATTTTGTTTCTTTCATTTTTAAATATTTTTTAATATTGCACGAATTGAAGATTTATTTGTTATAGTCCTTTAGTCATATATTTCATTAAAACATTAAAAAAAAAATCAATTTTACAAGAATAACATATTTTTGTTTTCTTCCTAAAGAAGCTTTCCTCATAATATCACCGCTGATTCATCCTCATCCAGTGGCCCTGCCCTCGCCGACCATTTCTATCGCGGCTCCAGCAAAGTCGACCCGCCGCCCATTAGCATTTCGAGAAATCCACTTTACAGAATTCTACAGTCGTAGAACAGCCAAAAGACATTACTTCCTCTCTCACTCAATCCGCGTCCTTTTCCCACTCCTCCCACTATAAAACTCCTGTCCAGATCGATTCCCTCCAACCCACCAGCGCCACCATCCCCACACTCCACCACCAATCCACCATGAAGCTTTCAACTTTCTTCCTCCTCTTCCCAATCTTCCTCTCCCTCGCCACAGCTTGCGATAGATGCGTTCACAAATCCAAAGTCGCCGTTTTTTCTCCCCCCTCCTCTCTTCCAGGTAATCCCGCTGGCTTCCTATTATCTCCATCTACTCTTCTACATCTCTAATCACTAACCTCGCACTTGCAGCCGGAGCTTGTGGCTATGGCTCCTTGGCTCTCAACTTCAGTCATGGACTTATCGCCGCCGCAAGTTCTAAAATTTATCGCGATGGCGTTGGCTGCGGTGGCTGTTTCCAGGTGAGAAATTTTATCTATCGATTATTGCGATTTTGATGAGTTGAAAACTTTTGCGATTAATCGGGGATTGTGGAATCACAGATTCGGTGCAGGAATACAGAGCTCTGTAATGGAGCAGGGGTGAAGGTTGTGGTGACCGATCTTGATAAGAGCAATAGAACTGATTTTAGGCTCAGTTCTCGGGCCTTCGCTGCTATGGCGCGGCCGGGGATGGTCGCCGGACTGCAGACAGTTGGGGTGGTCGATGCAGAACACAAAAGGTAATGATTCTTCAGGTTATTTCCATGCTCTGTTCAGTTTTCTTCCGATGAACTGAAAGTTTGGGATATTATGATCGAGTTTTGTTCAGAATAATTTTTGAGATTATTGGATTTATTTTCTATTAAACGCAATATAAATTCTAATTATTTTTTCATTCATTATGCTAAATTCACTGTGTATATATATATATGTATATATATGATTAAATATATTTTATTATATTTTTCCTTCAAATCAATACATTTTTTTTAAACAATTAATTAATTATTATATCGAGGAAAAATACTCTTTCGGCCTATAATTTTATTTTATATTAAATTTCTCTTATATTTTAAATGTTAGAGAAATAGGTCCCAGCTTTATTAAATTTATGTAGTTGTTACGAGCGTAGGAAGCATTAATTTTCAATCCTATATAAAATTTCAACCTAATATAAACTAGTCAAACGAATAGACCAGTCATTTAAATGAAGCGGATTCAAATTTATTGACCCATACTAGATTTATGCGGACAATTGCAGGATTCCGTGCGACTATTCAAACAAGAACCTATCCATAAGAGTGGAGGAGAGCAGCCGGAGGCCCAGTTTATTAACGGTCAAACTTATCTACCAAGGTGGACAAACTGACGTCGTGGCAGTCGACGTGGCGCGGTTCGGTTCGCCAGCATGGCAGTTCATGACCCGGCTCAACGGCCCGGTCTGGACCACCAGGCAAGCACCGGGCGGCCCGCTTCAGTTCCGGTTCGTGGTGACGGGTGGGTACGACGGCAAGTGGGTGTGGGCCCAACAGGAGGTGTTGCCGGCTGAGTGGCGGTCCGGCGAGGTGTACGATACGGGAGTTCAGATCACCGATATAGCGCAGGAGGGCTGTTCTCCTTGTGACACGGAGGAATGGCGGTGAAAATAACGGTGGTGGGTTTTTGTTCCTTTTTTACGCCTAAATAAGAAAGGAAACCATATAATGTAAAAGATCAGAAGGTTATAATTGTAAGTATATGGTTTTAT